GAGGGTATTTTTAGGGTTATTTGGGGTGTTTCTAGGGATATTTTGGGGGGGTTTTAGGGATATTCTTGGGGGGTTTTTAGGGTTATCTTGGGGCATTTTTAGGAATATTTTGGGGCATTTTTAGGGATATTTTGGGGGGGTTTTAGGGATATTCTTGGGGGGTTTTTAGGGTTATCTTGGGGCATTTTTAGGAATATTTTGGGGCATTTTTAGGGATATTTTGGGGGGGTTTTAGGGATATTCTTGGGGGGTTTTTAGGGTTATCTTGGGGCATTTTTAGGAATATTTTGGGGCATTTTTAGGGATATTTTGGGGGGGTTTTAGGGATATTCTTGGGGGGTTTTTAGGGTTATCTTGGGGCATTTTTAGGAATATTTTGGGGCATTTTTAGGGATATTTTGGGGGGGTTTTAGGGATATTCTTGGGGGGTTTTTAGGGTTATCTTGGGGCATTTTTAGGAATATTTTGGGGCATTTTTAGGGATATTTTGGGGGGGTTTTAGGGATATTCTTGGGGGGTTTTTAGGGTTATCTTGGGGCATTTTTAGGAATATTTTGGGGCATTTTTAGGGATATTTTGGGGGGTTTTTAGGAATATTTTGGGGCATTTTTAGGGATTTTTGAGGGTATTTTTAGGGTTATTTGGGGTATTTTTAGAGATATTTTGGGGCATTTTCAGAGATATTTTCAGGGATATTTTAGGCTATTTTTTGGGATACTTTTAGGTTGTTTTTAGGGTATTTTTGGGGTTAATTTGGGGATATTTTTGGGGGGTTTTGAGGTTATTTTGAGGCATTTTTGGGGTTTTTTAGGGATATTTTGAGCTGTTTTTAGGCGTATTTTGGGGTATTTTCAGGGATATTTTGGGTTATTTTTGGGGATATTTTGGAGTGTTTTCAGGGCTGTTCGGGGCTGTTTTCAGGGCTATTTTAGGGACATTTTGGCACTGCTTTCAGGGTGGTTTCAGGGGTGTTCCGGGCTGTTTTCAGGGATATTTTAGGGACATTTTGGCACCGACTTCAGGGCTGTTTTCAGGGATATTTTAGGGTATTTTTAGGAACATTTTGGCACTGATTTTAGGGTGATTTCAGGACTGTTTCAGGCTGTTTTCAGGGATATTTTAGGGTATTTTTAGGGACATTTTGGCACCGATTTTAGGGTGTTTTCAGGGCTGTTTTCAGGGCTGTTCCAGGCTGTTTTCAGGGATATTTTAGGGCATTTTTAGGGACATTTTGGCACTGATCTTAGGGTGTTTTCAGGGCTGTTCTGGGCTGTTTTCAGGGATATTTTAGGGACATTTTGGCACTGATTTCAGGGTGTTTTCAGAGCTATTCTGGGCTTTTTTCAGGGGTATTTTAGGGTGTTTTCAGGGCTATTCAGGGCTGTTTTCAGGGATATTTCAGGGTGTTTTCAGGGCTGTTCGGGGGTGTTTTCAGGGCTATTTTAGGGTATTTTTAGGGATATTTCTGCACTGATTTCAGGGTTGTTTTCAGGGCTGTTACGGAGCGTTTTCAGGGATATTTTAGGGACATTTTGGCACCGATTTCAGGGTGATTTCAGGGCTGTTCTGGGCTATTTTCAGGAATATTTTGGGGTGTTTTCGGGGATATTTTAGGGACATTTTGACACTGATTTTAGCGTGTTTTCAGGGATATTTCAGGGCTGTTTCCAGGGATATTTCGGGGCTGTTTTCAGGGATATTTTAGGGTACTTTTAGGGACATTTTGGCACCAATTTAGGGTGTTTTCAGGGCTGTTGCGGGCTGTTTTCAGGGATATTCCGGGCTGTTTTCGGGGATATTTTAGGGATATTTCTGCACTGATTTCAGGGTTGTTTTCAGGACTGTTCAGGGCTGTTGTCAGGGATATTTTAGGGCTATTTCTGCACTGATTTTAGGGTGATTTCAGGGCTGTTCTGGGCTGTTTTTAGGGCTATTTTAGGGTATTTTTAGGGATATTTCTGCACTGATTTCAGGGTTGTTTTCAGGGCTGTTACGGAGCGTTTTCAGGGATATTTTAGGGACATTTTGGCACCGATTTCAGGGTGATTTCAGGGCTGTTCTGGGCTATTTTCAGGAATATTTTGGGGTGTTTTCGGGGATATTTTAGGGACATTTTGACACTGATTTTAGCGTGTTTTCAGGGATATTTCAGGGCTGTTTCCAGGGATATTTCGTGGCTGTTTTCAGGGATATTTTAGGGTATTTTTAGGGACATTTTGGCACAGATTTCAGGGTGTTTTCAGGGCTATTCTGGGCTGTTTTCAGGGGTATTTTAGGGATATCTCTGCACTGATTTCAGGCTGTTTTCAGAGCTATTCAAGGCTGTTTTCGGGGATATTTTAGGATATTTTCAGGGCTGTTCTGGGATGTTTTCAGGGATATTTTAGGGTATTTTTAGGGACATTTTGGCACCGATTTTAGGGTGATTTCAGGGATATTTTAGGATATTTTCAGGGCTGTTCTGGGATGTTTTCAGGGATATTTTACAGACATCTTGGCACTGAATTTAGGGTGATTTCAGGGATATTTTAGGATATTTTCAGGGCTGTTCCGGGCTGTGTTCAGGGCTATTTTAGGGATATTTCTGCACTGATTTCAGGGTGTTTTGAGGGCTGTTCCGGGCTGTTTTCAGGGTATTTTCGGGGCTATTTTAGGGGTATTTCTGCACTGATTTCAGGGTGTTTCCAGGGCTGTTTTCAGGGCTGTTCCGGGCTGTTTTCGGGGATATTTTTGCACTGATTTTAGGGTGTTTTCAGAGCTATTCAGGGCTGTTTTCAGGGCTGTTTTCAGGGGATATTTTAGGCTATTTTTCAGGGCCATTCTGGGCTGTTTTCAGGGATATTTTAGGGGTATTTCTGCACTGATTTCAGGCTGTTTTCGGGAATATTTTAGGATATTTTCAGGGCTGTTCCAGGGTGTTTTCAGGGCTATTTTAGGGACATTTATGGCACTGATTTCAGGGTGTTTTCAGCGATATTTTAGGATATTTTCAGGGCTGTTCCAGGGTGTTTTCAGGGCTATTTTAGGGACATTTATGGCACTGATTTCAGGGTGTTTTCAGCGATATTTTAGGATATTTTCAGGGCTGTGCAGGGATGTTTTTAGGGATATTATAGGGTATTTTTAGGGACATTTTGGCACCAAATTTAGGGTGATTTCAGGGCTGTTCAGAGCTGTTTTCAGGGCTATTTTAGGGACATTTTGGCACAGGATATTCTGAGCTGTTTTCAGGGCCATTCTGGGCTGTTTTCAGGGCTATTTCGGGGCTGTTTTCAGGGCTATTTTAGGGTATTTTTAGGGACATTTTGGCACCGATTTCAGGGCTGTTCAGGGCTGTTTTCAGGGATATTCCGGGCTGTTTTCAGGGATATTCCAGGGCTGTTTTCAGGGCTATTTTAGGGGTATTTCTGCACTGATTTCAGGGTGTTTCCAGGGCTGTTTTCAGGGCTGTTCCGGGCTGATTTTCGGAGATATTGTTGCACTGATTTTAGGGTGTTTTCAGGGCTATTCAGAGCTGTTTTCAGGGATATTTTAGGGTATTTTTAGGAACATTTTGGCACCGATTTCAGGGTTTTTTCGGGGCTGTTTTCAGGGATATTCCGGGCTGTTTTCAGAGATATTCGGGGCTGTTTTCAGGGATATTCTGAGTTTTCAGGGCTATTTTAGGGGTATTTCTGCACCGATTTCAGGGATATTTCGGGGCTGTTTTCAGGGCTGTTCCAGGCTGTTTTCAGGGATATTTTAGGGTACTTTTAGGGACATTTTGGCACCGATTTCAGGGATATTTCGGGGCTGTTTTCAGGGATATTCTGGGCTGTTTTCAGGGATATTCTGGGCTGTTTTCAGGGATATTCCGGGCTGTTTTCAGAGATATTCGGGGCTGTTTTCAGGGATATTCTGGGCTGTTTTCAGGGCTATTTTAGGGTACTTTTAGGGACATTTTGGCACCAATTTAGGGTGTTTTCAGGGCTGTTGCGGGCTGTTTTCAGGGATATTCCGGGCTGTTTCCGGGGCTCCGTACCGGGGTAGGCGTAGGGCGTGGCCTGGTTGATCATTCCCGAGTATTTGCTGTACGGGCTCAGCAGCGGCGACAGCAGCGCTGGGGGAGGGGCGGGGGGGTCAGGGGGATCCCGAGACCCCCCAGAATCCCCCCAGACCCCCCCGGATCCCCCCGGATCCCGCCGGGGCTCACCCAGGGCGGCGATGCCGAAGCTGGCGGCGATCACCGGCTCCTTGGCCCAGAGCGAGCGCAGCGCGCCGGCCACGCCTGGGTGGGGACAGGAACGGGGAAAAAGGGATAAAGTCAGACCAAAAGTAACAAAAACAGACCACAATGAACCAAAATCAGCCCAAAACCAGCCCAAAATTAACAAAAAACAGCACAAAAGTAACAAAAACCAGCACAAAACAGAGCAGAAAGGGCCAAAATCAGCACCAAATTAACAAAAACCAGCACAAAACAGAGCAAAAAGGGCCAAAGTCAGACCAAAAGTAACCAAAATGGCACAGAATGAACCAAAATGAACCAAAACCAGCCCAAAATTAACAAAAAACAGCACAAAAGTAACAAAAACCAGCACAAAACAGAGCAGAAAGGGCCAAAATCAGCACCAAATCAACAAAAACCAGCACAAAACAGAGCAAAAAGGGCCAAAGTCAGACGAAAAGTAACAAAAACGGCACAAAATGAACCAAAATCAGCCCAAAATTAACAAAAACCAGCACAAAAGTAACAAAAACCAGCACAAAACAGAGCAAAAAGGGCCAAAGTCAGACGAAAAGTAACAAAAACGGCACAAAATGAACCAAAATGAACCAAAGTCAGCAACAAATTAACAAAAACCAGCAAAAAATTAACCAAACTGAACCAAAGTCAGCACAAAAGTAACAAAAAACAGCACAAAACAGACCAAAACCAGCCAAAATCAGACCAAAAGTAACCAAAACGGCACAAAATGAACCAAAATGAACCAAAGTCAGCAACAAATTAACAAAAACCAGCAAAAAATTAACCAAACTGAACCAAAGTCAGCACAAAAGTAACAAAAACCAGCACAAAACAGAGCAAAAAGGGCCAAAGTCAGACCAAAAGTAACCAAAACAGCACAAAACAGCCCAAAATGACCAAAGTCAGCACAAAAGTCACCACAAAACATCCCAAAAATACCCAAAAATACCCCAAAACAACCCGAAACGGCCAAAAAATACCCCAAAATAGCACAAAATTAAGCCAAAACACACCAAAACCACCACAAAACATCCCAAAACAGCCCAAAAATACCCCAAAACCAAAAATTCCCCAAAGCAACCTGGAACAGCCCAAAAATAACCCCAAAGCACACCTAAAACACCAAAAGCCAGCCCAAAACTACCCCAAAACAACTCAAAACAGCCCAAAACTACCCCAAAACAGCCCCAAAATACCCCCAAACAGCAGAAAATAAAGCCAAAACACACCAAAACCACCACAAAACATCCCAAAACAGCCCAAAAATACCCCAAAACCAAAAATTCCCCAAAGCAACCTGGAACAGCCCAAAAATAACCCCAAAGCACACCTAAAGCACCAAAAGCCAGCCCAAAACTACCCCAAAACAACTCGAAACAGCCCAAAACTGCCCCAAAACAGCTCCAAAATACCCCCAAACAGCAGAAAATAAAGCCAAAACACACCAAAACCACCACAAAACATCCCAAAACTACCCAAGACAACCAAAAAATACCCCAAAACAACCTGAAACACCCCAAAAATAACCCCAAAACACCAAAAACCAGCCCAAAAATACCCCAAACTGCACAAAAATACCCCAAAACAACCCAAAAAAAACCCCAAAACACCACAAAATTAAGCCAAAACACACCAAAACCACCACAAAACAACCCAAAACAGCCCAAAAATAACCCCAAAGCACACCCAAAACACCAAAAACCAGCCCAAAACTACCCCAAAACAGCCCAAAAATACCCCAAATCGTCCCCAGACCCCCCAAACCTCCTCTCAAAGCCCCCCAAATCCATCACCCCCAGCCCAGAACCCCCAAACCCAGCCAAGAGCCCCCGTTTTCCCCCAAATCCCACCAGAACCCCCAAAATCTCCCTCAAAACCCCAAAATTTCCCTCAAATCCCC